CCTCATAAGGGCAAGCCCGTTACCAGGCAACGGCTCTCCCACTGGATTGTGGAAGCGATTGCTCTGGCTTATACGAGTCAGGGTTCGCAGGCACCAACGGGCCTGCGTGCTCATTCTACTCGTGGACTGGCTACATCCTGGGCTTTGTTCAAGGGTGTTTCCATCCAAGACATTTGTGCAGCAGCGAGCTGGTCCTCACTGCTCACTTTTGTCCGCTTTTACAGGCTAGATGTCTCTGCTCCAAGTGTGGCCCGCGCAGTGCTGGACCCCGTGTTGAGACAGGGTTCTACCTGTTAAGTTCTGGTTGTTTTGGTGATTTTCGAGATAAGCATGCCTAGTAATACGGGAGTTTTAATATCCCATAGTGAAGCATCAAATGGAGTGTTATGAATGTGAACTATAGGTTACTTACGTAACCCCAGTTCTCAGAGTAACATGAAGTGAGATGTCTCACCAGACGGCCCTTCTTGCTAAGGCGAAGCGAGAAGAGGTGCTTATTTTGAATGACGCTGCAACGTAGCGCAAGCTACTTAAAGGGTGGGTGGATTCCCTGACGTAGACGTCAAGATCACCAGCCAATCAGGATTGGCGTAATGAGATTGATGCTTCTGTTTGCATACGCGTTGAGGCGCATCCCATAGTGAGACATCTCACTTCATGTTACTCTGAGAACTGGGGTTATGTAAGTAACCTATAGTTCTCAGTTGATCTGTGCTTTAACTATAGCTGGCATATTTTAAGGATATTTTTAAGTATCTCTTTTATAAATCAGGTTTTGTATTTGCTGTTTTGGCCCTATTTGCAAGAGTAAACACTGATGAACCTGGATTAGCCCTTCTCCTGGTTTTGGTACAAAATGAGAGATAGTGGCTGAGATGTTGAGGAGACAACTCAATGCTGGATAGACAAAGATGATCAAAAACCTGCATTATGAAGGAATCATAAATACAAGACATAAACTGCCGCTCATCAGCAAAAACTATTTTCCTTTGACTCAATCATTTCAGTTCGAGTCAAATTAAAATATTTGCGACACAGCTTTGAGTAATTATTTTCCCTTAGAGTCCCTTTGCGGTGTTTCATTAATGGGCTTGTATTAACATTGCCCACTATTACATTAGGTCATTGTTACTGAGTGTCAGCTGTCAAAATAATGTCAGCCCACTTTTATGTCACATAACCTTGTACTACAAATACTACAATTAATCAACAGGAGAGATCAAACATTCCTGGAAGCATCTTTTGAAACCGAAATACCTACTTACATTAGCTATGAGGGGGCTGGTTATCATGGTGCCATTGTTACCATCGACTAAATGATGACCAACAGGGGGGTAGACACTAACCACCGGCTTCTCCTGGGGGAACTGAGGAGGCAGCAGTCTAGAGGAAAGAAAATTAATCATATTAACAGCATATATAACAAGTAAGAACTGTGAGTATATTGCCCAGCTCTGTGTTCTTAAGACAAAAGCATGAACATCACGGGAGGGTAATATGGTAAAGGTCTATTTCTTTGTGAACAGCTCTCATTAGCAAACAAAACTAGAACACTTCATTATGTAAGAGGACTAAAGCAAATGAGAGCTAAATGCCCTTTACTGCTTTACTTGACTTTCTTTTCCAACCATCCTTCCTTTTATTCGCTTTCGCTTCTACCACTCAAGAGAACTGAGTTGTCAAACAACATTCTTAAATCATTATGTGTATTAGTTGCAATGCATGCAAGTGTACATGGTTGTTGCGAAGTAGGGCAATTATTATAAAAGGGAATACAACTTTTAACCAACTAAAATAGCTTATTTCAATATTCCATTCAATTTACAGATGAGTTTGTTGATTAGTTTTCTAACCGAAGCCTGTCGTACGTATCTAAAACTTATACTTACACATTGACACTAATGGTCGAGTTGTTGACAGTGAATGGTATTCTGTACTCCACATCCTTCTGGATCTCTGCGAGGCTATTGGGAAGAATACATAATCAGTAATCATGATCAGTACATAAGAAAATGGACGTCCTCCATCAATTTTTATGAACATTACTCTGGTTTGGTGACAAATAGATACATAAAGAGAGAGCTTCAACGCCCATTCTCACCCAATAACACTGACTTCTGAGCAAAACAACATAGTAACAAAATGTAGAAGCAAATGTATTGTAATGTTAATCCCAGAATTAATTTGTCTCATTGGATTACCACCACAGGATGTTCCACCTGTAACAGTCAACCGCTGTTAGTGTCTGTTATGTTATGTTATTGATTTACTGTTTACTGCAATCATGGCTAGCAAGTTGATATCCGTATCAGGATAACTATCAGATTTTTCAACATTCTATACATCATAGTTTACTTCACAGCAAATAATTTAGCCCTAAATAAGACAAATGTATGTTAAGAAGCCGTGGCTTTACACCCACACCTGTACACTGTATTTTAAGGAGTAAAAGACGGTACCTTTCAATGTATTACTTAAAATAACACATTAGCTGTTAAGGCCTCTGAAATCCCATGAGCCTCATAGCCATCACAAAGTGTGTCTAATCTCATTTATGAATTTCACGCACATACTCTACATCAGAAGTGAGATTACACTGAGATGAAGAAATGCACTCAGAACTGTTTGCTGGCAGTTGTTGTCCAACTGAGTAGAAAGACACAGCTATTTGTCACCAAGATATGGAGTACACAAAGGCTTTAAGACTTTAATCTTCACGTCTAACAAGCTGGCTCCTCCTAAAACTGCATGCGCGGTAAACACCGGAATGATCACAGGACCAGCGAGCCACAACACGTGTCATCATCCCTAAATATAGACACTGGAACTGTGACAGGCTGACTTGATTAACTAGCGAGCTAGCACAGCTAGTTAGTTAGCTTTGAGTTAGCAAACATTAGCCGCTCAAAGACCACACCGGGGCATGTCAAAGCCGTGGTTGTGGTTTCACGTACATTCTTGGGTATACTAATGGTACATTAACATACTCACAATTACACATTTAGGGTAAAACGAGACTACAAGCTTTATTATTTGTTAGCATAACGTCTTTAATACGATTCAACTGTGAGCTCGGTGGCTAGCTATGCTAAGTAAACAGCAACTGGCAGTAAACCTAGTTAACATGTTTAATCAACCAACTTTAATGTTATTAAAGTGACCAAGAAACCTTCTATTGACCATATATAACGACACAGTCAACAAGCTAACCAGCAGCACCGGGGTCTGTTGTGACAGGGTGCCATTCACTTCACCTGGGGTGAGCGGCTTTGAGAGACTCGATCTGCCGCTGTCTCTGTTGCTGTAGGCTGTTCAGAGGGAGAGGTCCGGAGCCTTTGGACAGGGGGAAGAGCCAGTTCATCCTCTTCTGGAGAAACCACGGACTGATCTCGGTGACAGGATGTACAGGCCGGCTACAGATGAAGAGAAAGTGAGAGTGTGGTGATCTGTGGCGCTAACCCCTGTTAGCTGTCTGACTAGCGACTCTGTTTGTTGTCCAAATGGGGTTTACTTTGTAGTTACGTTACAAAGTCTGATGGCATGTCCTTATTTTTGTCGATTAAAACGTCAATTCCGTGTTATCTCCAAGCGTTTTCATATACGTTCAGCGTTGTCATTAGTAGTACTGAGGTGAGAGATAAATAAAGCTGAAGGAAGACAACAACCTTCGGGCAGCAGAAGCTTGTTCAACGTATTACGTATACGTGACGCAGCAATTCTGCGTAAAACGCCACTTCCTGTTTTCAAGATTTAAGTTGAAAAAAATGTTAATGATGTAATGATTCAAAACGAAAAGAGCATCATTTTAAAAGAGTGTTTCCCTATTAATCATTCCTTTCTGGAGTTTTATTATAATACAAATCTGAATTCCTTTATTTTTCACGCAACGGGGAAGTTTACATTATTACAACAGCAGAAATATAGTGCAGATAACGTTATTAGTTAAGAGAATCAGAGGCGTTTTTAAATGTACAAAAGTGGTGGGGCACAAAAAACGTAGATGTCTATAAAAGCTTCTGCAGTGACGTGCAGTGAGGTTCAGGGACGTGCACAGGTAGCCTACGGCCTATTGTTGCCCGGGCAACGGCCCCTTTTCCCTTTTTGGCTGACATGCCCCTATGGTGAGAGCGAGAGGTTTTTTTTCTCTTTCTGTTGCGGTCGAATCAACATGATAAGCCCACAATTAGTATAGTAGTGTCTCGCTGCGGGAAACACACCAGCTTCATTCTTCTTCTACTTCTTTTACTCCTTCTTCTTCTTCTTCTTCTTCTTACCGCAACATTTTGAATGAAGAACTCGTTTCAGTTCTTTTTTTTTTTATCCAAAGCGACTTACAATAAGTGCAGTCGACCAGGAAGATACAACCTTGAAGAAAACAGAATCATATAAGTACATCAGGTTTCATAGAGCCAAACATTTCAAGTGCTACTCAACCGGCTGTAGATACGCCAGTCCTTTATTAGTATATAAGTGCTCTGTTAGCAGTTATTTGTTAGTAATTCTATCGCTCGAAGTGGAGTCGAAAGAGATGAGTTTTCAGTCTGCGCTGGAAGATGTGCAAGCTATCTGCTGTCCTGATTTCAATGGGGAGTTCATTCCACCATTTTGGAGCCAGGATAGCAAACCCACGTGTTTTTGCTGATGGGAACTTGGGTCCCCCTCGCAGCGAGGGTGCAGCGAGTCGTTTGGCTGATGCAGAGCGAAGTGCACACGCTGGGGTGTACAGTTTAACCATGTCCTAGATGTAGGAAGGGCCAGATCCATTTGCAGCATGGTATGCAAGTACCATTTTTTTGAAGTGGATTCTAGCAATTACTGGAAGCCAGTGAAGTGAGCGGAGGAGCGGAGTGGTGTGGGAAAATTTTGGAAC